TATTTTATCCAAAATGATTGAAAAAAAGGTGAAAATTACAATGGTGTAAGTTTCCGTAGTGTAGTTGTCATCACGTTTGCCTCACACGCAAAAGGTCCCCAGCTCGAAATTGGGCGGAAACAACATGAAGGAGCTCTTTCTGAAAATCTACTGTGGTATTTTCTTCATAGACATTAAGACATTTAACTTTTGTGTTATTTTATCCAAAATGATTGAAAAAATGTGAAAATTACAACTATGTCAGTTTCTGTAGTGTAGTGTTCATCATGTTTGCCTAACACGCAAAAGGTCACCAGTTCGAAACTGGACGGAAACAACAAGAAGGAACTTTTTTCTGAAAATCTACTGTGGTATTTTGTTTTTGGACATTAAGGAATTTAACTTTTGTGTTATTTTATCCAAAATGATTGAAAAAAAATAAGAAAATTACAATTATGTAAGTTTCTGTAGTGTAGTGGTCATCACGTTTGCCTCACATGCGAAAGGTCCCCAGTTCAAAACTGTGTGGAAACAAATTTAAGGAGCTCTTTCTGAAAATCTACTGTAGTATTTTGTTTTTGGACATTAAGTAATATAACTTTTGTGTTATTTTATCCAAAATGATTGAAAAAATGTGAAAATTACAACTATGTGAGTTTGCGTCGTGTAGTGTTCATCATGTTTGCCTAACACGCAATAGGTCACCAGTTAGAAACTGGGCGGAAACAACAAGAAGGAACTTTTTCTGAAAATCTACTGTGGTATTTTGTTTTTGGACATTAAGGAATTTAACTTTTGTGTTATTTTATCCAAAATGATTTGAAAAAAATGTGAAAATTACAAATGCGTAAGTTTCCGTAGTGTAGTGGTCATCATGTTTGCCTAACACGCAAAAGGTCCCCAGTTCAAAACTGGGCGGAAACAACAAGAAGGAACTTTTTCTGAAAATCTACTGTGGTATTTTGTTTTTGGACATTAAGGAATTTAACTTTTGTGTTTTTTTTTTATCCAAAATGATTGAGAAAAATGTGAAAATTACAACAGTGTAGGTTTCCGTAGTGTAGTGGTCATCACGTATGCCTCACACGCAAAAGGTCCCCAGTTCGAAACTGGGCGGAAACAACAAGAAGAAACTTTTTCTGAAAATCAACTGTGGTATTTTTTGTTTTTGGACATTAAGGAATTTAACTTTTGTGTTATTTTATCCAAAATGATCAAAAAATATATGAAAATTACAACAGTGTAGGTTTCCGTAGTGTAGTGGTTATCACATATGTATGGTCATCGTTTATATGCAAAAGGTCCCCAGTTCGAAACTGGGTGGAAACAACAAGAAGGGACTTTTTCTGAAAATCTACTGTGGTATTTTGTTTTTGGACATTAAGGAATTTAATTTTGTGTTATTTTATCCAAAAGGATTTGAAAAAAATGTGAAAATTACAACAGTGTTGGTTTCCGTAGTGTGTTGTTTATCACGTTTGCCTAACACGCAAAAGGTCCCCAGTTCGAAACTGGGCGGAAACAACAAGAAGGAACTTTTTCTGAAAATCTACTGTGGTATTTTGTTTTTGGACATTAAGGAATTTTACTTTTGTGTTTTTTTTTATCCAAAATGATTGAAAAAAATGTGAAAATTACAACAGTGTAGGTTTCCGTAGTGTAGTGGTCATCACGTTTGTCTAACACGCAATAGATCACCAAATAGAAACTGGGCGGAAACAACATGAAGGAGCTCTTTCTGAAAATCTACTGTGGTATTTTGTTTTTGGACATTAAGGAATTTAACTTTTGAGTTATTTTATCCAAAATGATAAAAGAAAATATGAAAATTAGAACAGTGTAGTCTTCCGTAGTGTAGTGGTCATCACATTTGCCTCACACGCAAAAGGTCCCCAGTTCGAAACTGGACGGAAACAACAAGAAGGAACTTTTTCTGAAAATCTACTGTGGTATTTTGTTTTTGGACATTAAGGAATTTAACTTTTGTGTTATTTTATCCAAAATGATTTGAAAAAAATGTGAAAATTACAAATGCGTAAGTTTCCGTAGTGTAGTGGTCATCATGTTTGCCTTACATGCAAAAGGTCCCCAGTTCGAAACTGGGCGGAAACAACAAGAAGGAACTTTTTCTGAAAATCTACTGTGGTATTTTGTTTTTGGACATTAAGGAATTTAACTTTTGTGTTATTTTATCCAAAAGGATTTGAAAAAAAATGTGAAAATTAAAACAGTATTGGTTTCCGTAGTGTATTGTTTATCACGTTTGCCTAACACGCAAAAGGTCCCCAGTTCGAAACTGGGCGGAAACAGCAAGAAGGAACTTTTTCTGAAAATCTAATGTGGTATTTTGTTTTTGGACATTAAGGAATTTAACTTTTGTGTTATTTTATCTAAAATTATTGAAAAAAATATGGTCATCACGTTTGCCTCACACGCAAAAGGTCCCTAGTTCAAAACTGGGCGGAAACAACAAAAAGGAACTTTTTCTGAAAATCTACTGTGGTATTTTGTTTTTGGACATTAAGGAATTTAACTTTTGTGTTATTTTATCCAAAATGATCAAAAAAATATGAAACAGTTTAAAGAAACTTTTTCTGAAAATCAACCTAATTTTTCTTGTGTGTTTTAGGACATTGAGGATTTTATCTTTTTGTGTTATTTTATCCAAAATGATTTGAAAAAAAAATGTGTAAATTACAACAGTGTAGGTTTCCGTAGTGTAGTGGTCATCACGTTTATATGCAAAAGGTCCCCAGTTCGAAACTGGGTGGAAACAACAAGAAGGGACTTTTTCTGAAAATCTACTGTGGTATTTTGTTTTTGGACATTAAGGAATTTAATTTTGTGTTATTTTATCCAAAAGGATTTGAAAAAAATGTGAAAATTACAACAGTGTAGGTTTCCGTAGTGTAGTGGTTATCATGTTTGCCTAACACGCAATAGGTCCTCAGTTCAAAACTGGTCGGAAACAACATAAGGAAACTTTTTCTGAAAATCCACTGTGGTATTTTGTTTTTGGACATTAAGGAATTTAACTTTTGTGTTATTTTATCCAAAATGATTTGAAAAAAATGTGAAAATTACAACAGTGTAGGTTTCCGTAGTGTAGTGGTCATCACGTTTGCCTAACACGCAAAGGTCCCCAGTTCGAAACTGGGCGGAAACAGCAAGAAGGAACTTTTTCTGAAAATCTACTGTGGTATTTTGTTTTTGGACATTAAAGAATTTAACTTTTGTGTTATTTTATCCAAAATGATTTGAAAAAAATGTGAAAATTACAAATGCGTAAGTTTCCGTAGTGTAGTGGTCATCACGTTTGCCTAACACGCAAAAGGTCCCCAGTTCGAAACTGGGCGGAAACAACATGAAGGAGCTCTTTCTGAAAATCTACTGTGGTATTTTATTTTTGGACATTAAGGAATTTAACTTTTGTGTTATTTTATCCAAAATTATTAAAAAAATATGAAAATTAGAAAAGTGTATGTTTCAGTAGTGTAGTGGTCATCACGTTTGCCTAACACGCTAAAGGTCCCCAGTTCGAAACTGGGCGGAAACAATTTGAAGGAGCTCTTAATGAAAATCTACTGTGGAATTTTCTTTTTGGACATTAAGGAATTTAACTTTTGTGTTATTTTATCCAAAATTATTGAAAAAAATATGAAAATAAGAACAGTGTAGGTTTCCGTAGTGTAGTGGTTATCATGTTTGCCTAACACGCAATAGGTCCCCAGTTAGAAACTGGGCGGAAACAACATGAAGAAACTTTTTCTGAAAATCTACTGTGGTATTTTGTTTTTGGACATTAAGGAATTTAACTTTTTGTGTTATTTTATCTAAAATGATAAAAAAAATATGAAAATTAGAACAGTTTAGGTTTCCGTAGTGTAGTGGTGATCACGTTTGTCTAACACGCAATAGGTCACCAGTTAGAAACTGGGCGGAAACAACATGAAGGAGCTCTTTCTGAAAATCTACTGTGGTATTTTGTTTTTGGACATTAAGGAATTTACCTTTTGTGCTATTTTATCCAAAATGATAGAAAAAAATATGAAAATTACAAATGCAAAAGTTTCCGTAGTGTAGTGGTCATCACGTTTGCCTAACACGCAAAAGGTCCCCAGTTCGAAACTGGGCGGAAACAGTAAGAAGGAACTTTTTCTGAAAATCTACTGTGGTATTTTGTTTTTGGACATTAAGGAATTTAACTTTTGTGTTATTTTATCCAAAATTATTGAAAAAAATATGAAAATAAGTACAATGTAGGTTTCCGTAGTGTAGTGGTCATCACGTTTGCCTAACACACAATAGGTCCTCAGTTCAAAACTGGTCGGAAACAACATAAGGAAACTTTTTCTGAAAATCCACTGTGGTATTTTGTTTTTGGACATTAAGGAATTTAACTTTTGTGTTTTTTTTTATCCAAAATGATTGAGAAATATTTTCCATTTTGGATTTGGACCTTTTGCGTGCAAGTTTCATTACTGTAGTGGTTAGCACGTTTGCCTAACACGCAAAAAGTCCTCAGTTCGAAACTGGGCGAAAACAACAACAAGAAGGAACTTTTTCTGAAAATCTACTGTGGTATTTTGTTTTTGGACATTAATGAATTTAACTTTTGTGTTATTTTATCCAAAATGATAGAAAAAAATGTGAAAATTACAACAGTGTAGGTTTCCGTAGTGTAGTGGTCATCACGTTTGCCTCACATGTAAAAGGTCCCCAGTTCAAAACTGGGCGGAAACAGCAAGAAGGAACTTTTTCTGAAAATCTACTGTGGTATTTTGTTTTTGGACATTAAGGAATTTAACTTTTGTGTTATTTTATCCAAAATGATTTGAAAAAAATGTGAAATTTACAAATGTGTAAGTTACCGTAGTGTAGTGGTCATCACGTTTGCCTTACACGCTAAAGGTCCCCAGTTCGAAACTGGGCGGAAACAGCAAGAAGGAACTTTTTCTGAAAATCTACTGTGGTATTTTGTTTTTGGACATTAAGTAATTTAACTTTTGTGTTATTTTATCCAAAATTATTGAAAAAAAATATGAAAATGAGAACAATGTAGGTTTCTGTAGTGTAGTGGTCATCACGTTTGCATTACACGCAAAAGGTCCCCAGTTCGAAACTGGGCGGAAACAACAACAAGAAGGAACTTTTTCTGAAAATCTACTGTGGTATTTTGTTTTTGGACATTAAGGAATTTAACTTTTGTGTTATTTTATCCAAATTTATTGAAAAAATGTGAAAATTAGAACCATGTAAGTTTCTGTAGTGTAGTGGTCATCACGTTTGTCTAACACGCAATAGGTCACCAGTTAGAAACTGGACGGAGACAACATAAAGGAGCTCTGTCTGAAAATCTACTGTGGTATTTTGTTTTTAGACATTAAGGAATTTAACTTTTGTGTTATTTTATCCAAAATTATTGAAAAAAATATGAAAATGAGTACAATGTAGGTTTCCGTAGTGTAGTGGTCATCACGTTTGCCTCACACGCAAAAGGTCCCCAGTTCGAAACTGGGCGGAAACAGCAAGAA